AAGGAAAATAAAACAACTAAGTGTTTTCCATTTAAAGAAGACCAGTTGCCAAATCATGAGTTACATTAAACAAGCACATCGTATTCTTCCACTTACAGTTCTCTCAAACTATAACACTCTTAACATTACAATACACTTTTACCTTCAAAATTTTTATTAATGCTGTGAAGTTACAATGTTGTTATTATTTATTAAAGCTCCAACCTTACAATAAACTAGTTTTTCACTTCAGAATCTTTCTCAGACACGACATGAAATGCTTCTCACTAAGAAGCCAGTGCCCTACAACAACCCAGGACAAGTTGTGGGTATCCTTTAAAAATGAAAGCATTGTTGCATTGTCTGATTAAGAGGGAAGTGCCTTTGTACTAAATGGTTCAATTGGTATTTGCAGCCCCCAAGGATGGCAGCTTTCATTTCTTAGTGCTAGTTCCAAAGCAAGATAGCCAGGTACCATTTTGAGAGGAAACTGCTGTAATTAGTCCTATTTCTGAAATTGCTACTTTCCCAAGCAAAAGATAGGCTACATAGGGTCATTCAAAGACTGAGGTGGGGAAATAAGTGAGAGGAACTTGTTGCCTCCCAAATAATAATATAGTATTTTAATATATCTCCCAGGTACTATTAATATATATTTTCATGAAGGAAAGAAAAGCTGCAGTTTTCACCCTTTAGAAGACCTAACACATCAAACAACTGCCTTTAAGTGCTTTGTTTGGCCACTCCATGGCACAAACTTTGCTGTCACTGAGACCCTTGTAGCTTTGAACCCTCTCCTTCTACATCTTATTAACCACATCTGATGCTGAATGGAAATGGGTTCATTCCAGGATAGGGATTATCCTTTAAGCTTTACACAAGTTTATACAAACTTTTCAAATTCAAAATGCGTATGTAAACAGATACCGTACAAGCAAATGGGAATACTACTTAAAAAATGAAGAGTGGAGAAAGAAGAAATACAATGAGGTTCAAGGATGCAGTTTTATTTTAAAACATGATAACGGCAAAATACTGAACATTTTAAGGTCTAGATGGTGGTTTTATGGGTGTGAGCTTGGTTTTTTCTGAATTGTTTACATAGTTCATACATTTTTTAAAAGGATTTACTGGCACCAAGTGTGGTGGCACATATCTGCACCCCCAACACTCATGAGACTAAAGCAGGGTTCCTGAGTTTGAGGCCAGGCTGGACTCCATAATGAGTTCAAGTCCAACCTCAACTACATAGCAAGACCCTTTCTCGAGGAAAAAAAAAAAAAGTAAAAGAAAGAAGGGAGGAAGGAAGGAAGCAAGGAAGGAAGGAAGAAAAGACAGAAAGACAGAAAGAAAACAAAGAATATACTGGCATCTTTCATAGTTAGGAATCAAAAGTACCTTAGAACCACATTAATTTATTAAAAAGAAAAAATCCAAAACAAAAGTCAGTTGTTCAGTATCATCATCTCAGAATGATGGAATGAGCATTTTTCATCCAAAGAGAACAGACTGATACCTGGTTCATCCTGAAATTTCCATACTTTGTTCATAACTCCATAAGCCAGTTATTTATGTTCACGAGGAAAGTAAGGAAATAAGGAAACCAAGACTCAATTGGATAGTTGAGTAAAGCAGTAAAGTCAGGATTCCAAATCAGATTCAAACGCTCAACTCCAAAATTCACCATGTCACATCATACTGCCTAATTAGACAAGGAGCAAATTCTGAGAGTGATAGGCTATGTGGTTGACAAGGGGTGAAGATTTGACATGGTACTACTAAGCAGTCCTCTTCAGTTCTAGAAGTTTCTTGGAAAGCTGCTTTTCCTAGTGCCTAGCCGTCCCAGTGAGTGCATTAACCAGTTAGGTGACGTGAGACATAAGAACAATCACCAACCTTAACCTACATGGTGGTGGATATAAGGACCAAACATTGGCCAAATTCTTGAAAACATGCAAACACATTATGGTATATAAGCATCTGTTGCATGATGATCAAATTGTCTGTACACCTATCAATTAGCCACAAACCCTGTCCAAAATTCAAAATCTAGGGCCAGGGATTTAGCTCAGTGGCATGAGCGCCTGCCCGGTAAGCATGGGGTCATGAGTTTGATACTCGGCACCAAATAAATAAATAAATAAATAAATAAATAAATTCAAAATCTAATGTGAGAAGGAAATTTATTTATTGATCATCAAATTCTAACTAGGTAGCCTTAAAAATAAGATCAAAAAATTATAGTCACATTTTCATGCTATATTATCAAACACCATACTGTATAACCCAAAGTATATAAAATATTATGCATAGTACTAACTAGTCCCAGTCTTAAGGAACATCTCAGCAATAAATACATAGGCACCTATAGCCCTTCATTCTGGAACAGTCAGTAGGGCAAGGACCCATATAAGCAGTTGCTGACTTAAAAAACTTTCATCAGCCATGTGGAGTAACTCTCCATGTGCCACTTATACTGCAAATACGGAGTCACTAATTTTTGTCCACATAATGGAATTTTCATGGTCAGACTCCTCTTGGTCATGGTCATAGAATCAAGGCTTCAAATGTTATAAGGTGTGACCTGGCACCCATTACTTCACATAAACCCCAAATATTCCTCCAAAGCAAATGTCAGGCAGGCGATAAGGCTTATACTACATGTCCTAGCTATCACCTCAAAAATTTTTTTTTCAGATTTTTCCACCCATACATTTTCATGTGATGAACAAAACTTTTATTTTTGGAGAAACAGCATAAGAAAATGTTGAAGGATGGATATACAAAATGTTAAAAGGTAGGTATCTCATACAAAATGAGTTAAGTTCTGAAGACCTAATGTACAACATGGTAACTGTAGTTAATAATGTACTACATGCCTTAGATATACCTAATTATATTTTAGTATTCTTGCTATATAAGACGGCTACGTTAACTCACTTGCTAATGGTAATCCTTCATGATGTATGCATATCAAAATATCACAATATCTGATTTCAGATAAACTTAAAGTATCTACTTTGTACCAAACATACGCACATACCTGAATACACATGCATATGTACACATACAAATACACAGAACTTGTCGATTAATTTCAATGAAGATGGAAAAAATTTATCCCCTATATTTTTCCCCTATATAGGATTGACATATTTGTTTTACCTAGAATTTGCTACAATGAACATCAATTCTGTAATTAATTATGAAGTAACAAAGCCAAATGTACATGTAGTACACTAAGTGCCTACATGTCAAAATTGTATTTCAAATTAAGAAACTACGTTGCCAAGCATGGTGATGCATACCTATAATCCCAGCACTTAGGAAGCTGAGGCAGGATCACCACAAGTTTGAGGCCAGCCTGGACTACAGTGAGATCAAGGCCAGCCTGAACTAAATAAAAGATCCTGTCTTCAGAAAGAAAAAAAAAAAAAAAAAAAAAAAAAAGACTATGTTATCCAGCAATATTTCAGAAGTCCTGCCAGGCATGGTGGCTCACAGCTCTAATCCCAGCACTTAGAAGACTGAGACAGGAGGCTGAGGCAGGTGGATTGTTGCCAAGTTCGAGACCAGCCTGGGCTACAAGGTGATCTCAAGGCCAGTCTGAACTGCATAGAGAGACCGTCCTAAAAGAAAAAAAAAAAAAAGAGTCCAATTCCAATATTCACATGTCAGAGTACAAAATACATATGTTCCTGATATAGGTAAGGGACTAAGATGTGCACATACAAAAATGTCAAAGTGCCAGGCAGTAGAGAACTGCCAAAAAGGTACAGAGGTAGGAAGCACTTTATACCTGTTTTAACAAAGGACACAAGTATTTGTGAGCTGCAACAAGGTGAAATACTCACAGAAAAGGGGACTTTGTGTAGGAACGTTCAAGATTCAAATTAAAACTTGAAGAAGCAATTCAGGAAAAGGAAAAGCCAAAGCACACTGACACTTGAGGATGAACAGGTGCTTCTGCACCATAAACAGCCTCTTGGGATACCAGAACTCCAGTCATTTCCGGAAATAAAAAAGATAAAATGACAGGAGTAAAAGTACAATACAACAGTAACAGAGAACAGACCTAGATCAAAGGAATGTGGGGGTCACTAAGTTAGCAATTTATGCGGGCTTCTTTAGCACTGGAGTTCTCCAAGCTCTCAGTAAGCTAACAGGCACGCAGTCCCTCAGGTAAGAGACGGCACCTGGTCTTACTTGACCAGATGCCTTTCTTCACTGAAAATGAAAATGCCTTAGGAAACACTATAGTTTAATACAGACAAAATAATGAAGAGCTTTAAATGCCAAGGCCAAATGGGTAGCTTGGCCTCAATCTTTATAATAAAGTCTAGATTTCCCACAGAAAAAAGGATGACCTGCTAACGTATTTTTTTTTTTAAGTTTCTACAGTGAAACTCAAAACCAGGCATTGCTGCCACTGTAACACTTCTATCTCATCTAGTTAGAATTCCCAACGAAGGTCTGTTCGTATTGTGAGAAGGCCTGAAATCAGCAGTCCATTCCCAGTGATCTGAAGGCTCCAGAAGAAGTATGCCTTCTGAGGAAATTACTGAAGGGTTATAACAAAATTAAGAACAAAAGAGGATAAAGAGTTCTTCAAAGATTAGCTAGGTCCAGTGGCAAATAGAGTGCTTCATGGAAAAGTGGGCCTTGAACAGGACCATGAAAGACTCAAACTGTATCTTGAAAGAGCAATCTATAAAAAGATACCTCTTTGCTACTTGATAGGCTGAAGTAGAAAGATCACAATTTGAAGGCCAGTCTGGGCAACTTAGTTTAAAAAAAAAAAAGATAGGGAGAAATCATTTGTGAGAGTGCTGCCTAGCATGCATGATATCATGAGTTCAATCCCCAGCACTGCAATCAACTAAAGAAACCTTGCGAAAAGGACTGAGCAACTGCTGCAAATTATAGGTGGCAATGCATGTGTTGTAAAAATCAGTTCAGGGCACCATGGCCAGCATTTAAAAGAAACACACACGAGATACATCACATACAAGAAGGGCAAATAATGTTTTATGAACCATTTATTTGTATTTGTTACACACAGTATATTAACTTGTGTTCTGGACTGTGGTTCGTAACTTATTTCCTACTTGGATTACAAATAAAAACACTGGAAAATCACTCCTTTATAAGACAGAAGACTTGGGCTGGAGGCTGCAGCATTCACTGAGAAGTCCATGGGAAGTGTAGCAGTAGGAAGAAAAACAAGCTAAACAGAAGCAAGACTTAAAGAGTGTGAATGAAGAAAACCAATGAAAATGCCAAGGTAACTACACCTGGGAAACCAGGGAGAAAGGTTGCTATGAAACAGTAGCAGTAGGGAGAAAATAACCTCAACAGAAAAGACAAAGAATATGAACAAAGGATAGCAATGAAAATGCCAGGGAAACTACAATCATAAACAGGTACACAGCAGAGACAGGGAGGTGCATTTGCTTTCAGAAGAGGCCACCCAGTGGAAACCCAAAAAAGCTCTCCAATGCAACTTCAAAAAAAGTCCACAACACAGCTTTAATTTGGTCACTTTTAACAATATTGTATTTTTTGTTATACAATGCCTTTAAAGTGTCCTCAACAAGATGGCTGTAACATTTAAGAGCATATAATCACTCTAAAGAACCAATACCATCAGTTAGTCCCTGGCTATTACATTATTCACCATCCCAAGGGCTTCATTCTGATTCAGCACTTGATGGATAAGTCCAGAACAGGCTGTCATTTGGCTCTCTGTATGTGGACAATGATTTCATAAGCACAGAGAAGCATGACCTAAGTGTGCTCCATGGCACTGGCACCACTAGGAAAGCATCACGCCAAAAGGTTCCCCAAGGCTGCCAGACTCTGGGCCTGTCCTGAGGGAAACTATAGTTTAGTTCTAGACCCCTGCTGTCTACCGAGGGGGCACAAGGGAGAGGATGAACGCCAACAAATCATTTTATCCAGGACTATATCCTCAACATATATCAGAGTAGACATAATTGAGACACAGTAGACTTGAAAGGTAAAATGTCACCTTCAATGCACCCATGATGAAAAGTTTTGTTTCACAGAAGCCATTTTATGAATAAATTACATTAATTACCAACATTTAAAACATCCAACATTTAAGGGTTCTCGATTTCTCATTTATTAGGCAGCAGGGAAAAAGAAGGTTTAGGTTATGCTACAAAAAGAGCCCAACTGCTCATAAACAACAACTGGGCTTCCTTGGGCGGAGGGAGGGAAATTCTTCAGCTACTGCATAAGGGTACAAAGATTTCTCACCCTAAGCAAGGTATTAAAGAATACGAATACAAATTTCTTGGAAGACAGAACACAGAAAAATTCACAAACTAAATAACAGGCCCATAATAACTATAATACATCCTTTAGGGAGGGGATTAAGCATGTACTTGTAGGAAGCAAGCAAACAAAGCTTTCCATAGAGAAACCACTTTCGCGAGATGATTAGGTGGACCTGCAATGAAGAAAATACATTTCAAAAGATGTGTTCAGACATACACTAATTTTTCACTAAAATACTCTAAAAAGTAAAAACAAATTCTTCTCTGTATCAAAAGAATTTTTAAAAAATACATATGGATAAGATAAATTTCAGTAAATATCTAAATCCTACACAGAGACATACACTTGCAAATAATATAAATTAAAAATAAAACGTGACAACAAAAATACTATGTGGAATTATTTTGACTAGGCCAAGCTAAGTTTGCATTTTGCTTTAAGGCATTATACTGAAATGAATCTCATTCTCACTATAATTTTTTTCTTTTTAACCTTAATCACCAGCGGCTGGACAACTGAAATGGACATGAGAACTATATAAATGTCAGAGAAATATGTAAACCTCATTAATGTTTCCAAAAATTCATTTAGAGATAGAAACAGGTCCAAATAGATGCCTGTCTAAATGTACTGCAATTACGTTACAATTATTTTTCCAAATACACAGATATGCTCTGTCTTTTCTCAGCTAATTACTGACTCAAACAATTTGCCCTTCTGGGATCAATTGTTTGCTAATAAATAATTGTTTACAGTCACAAAATGATGTTAGAAGGTTTTCTTATTAGTTTTCCTTCTGCACCCTAATAAGATTGAAAACTAGCTGATTCCCAAGAGTCTAACCTTAACCTCGCTTTGTTTAACAGCCCAGGAAATGATGAACCATCTGCTTCAGAAAATAATGGACGGCCAAGAGGAAATATTGTTTAATTGTAGATTAACCTCCTCATGAGGCAGTCTGAAGCAGCTTTAGAATTGGCAACTATAACCAGCAAAAGAAATAAATGGTTCAAGAGCCTTTTCCTCTACCATTTAAGGTCCAGAAAGAATGCAAAGAGATTTTTATTACTTCTACTTATTTATAAACATTTATTTCCACAGCGGAAACAAAAATCGGCAAGGTCAAAACTGACTCTCAAAAGTAGTCACTGCCTTCTAAATTTGTTTGCCGAAATACCTTTAATGCAGCAAATCATCAAACTATCTTATGCACTTAAGAAACTGTTTGATTTTTTTTAAAAAAAATCAATAAAAACCTCTTTTCCATTATTTCCAAGTTCTGATAATATTAAGATTAATAATTTCCCTGGTTTCTCTGTTATTAGTAATAAATCCACCATTGGGGAGTATGAATTGTTTTAATATCATCAACATGGCACTTAAGTAAATGAAATCTTGTCAAGTACATGGTGACCTACAAGTTCAAAAGAAAAAAAAAACAGCATGAGATCAAAATGGCCGGCCAGGACAAGAGATACGAGAGTGACAGATTAAATGCAAATACAGCCTTTTATTCAACAGGCTTCATATGCTAAGACCTTTCTAAAGAGCACCCTGTAAAAGATTGTATGATACTGAATATTTAATATTCTGCCCACTCACAGGACCTCCACCAATTTAGCAAGAGTATGAAACCAGTTTAATTCAAGGACGTATGGGAGTCCTCAAAACATTCAATAATTCCACAAATATTTACTGAGGACTTCTTTCCAGAGCCTACATGGGAGACAGGGAACAGACAGATACTTAGGGAAAGACATTTCACAGTATAAAATGTAAAAGTATCAACCTTCCCAGAAACCTGGTAGAGGTAATTAAGTAGAAAGCTTTGCTCTGTTGGTATCGAAAAATGTAAATGGTCTTTTCAGTCAACAGTTACAGCCAAGGGCCATTTATGAAAATTTCAAGATTAAGGAAATGCACTATTCTAGGGAAGGCTATCTTCTTCTAGGTTTCCAATAAGACCTGAAGGTCATTCACTTTGTGTAAATATTATAGAAACAACCTATGTGGAGAGGAAAAATTTTTGGCAGTCCAAATTCTTAAATATCTTAAATAGAATTTACTAAAATAAATTATTCTTGAATTCCTCAACTTAATTTTGAAGCAATGAGCTAGTAATAACTCCAGACTTCAAATAATAGAGCCTATTCAAGAAGAATGAGAGTTTGACATTCTTCTCTACAAAACAACTAGGCACAATTTTATCCATCAGACGTCTATCAACCTACGGATATTGAAAGCTTGGGAGAACAAGATAAAATCAACTCCAACCCTACAGTCAGCTGTAATATCCAGCAGGCATCAACAATGCTATTCATGAATTTAGAAAAATTAATAAATCCTGGGTTGAATGCAAGAAAAGGCTCAAATACAGGTGAAGCATACTCACTTGGGTTTTGTTTCTGCATCTGTCACTTGGCGAATGAAGATACCATCTTCAGGATGTTCCGTGTCATCCATTTCATACATGTATGATGATGCTATTGCAAGCGTAGTTCCATCATTGCTGAAGGCAAGCGATGCGATGCTGGTGGGGTACCGATGAAACTGGCACAGTCGTTTTTTGTTAAATGGATCCCAAATATTTACAAATCCATCAGAACCACCTGCAGTAATTTCAAAACAGTTAAAATGGTTTTTATCATCAGATCCTGAAATAACTGTTACCATAACAGCTAATTTTTAAGCTCACAGAAGTTACATCTTCCCCAAGAACTATTTTTCCCTATCTAAAAACATTTTTAAAATAATTCTACCTAACATCAATGGTGTTCAAATAATTTTTAAAATTTGCTAGTCTTAATAATTATATATGGGTTAGCAAGCCATAGTTTACCTGTGGCAAATGTATTGTGGATATTGTGAAAGGAAATGGCATTGACTGGGTAAATCTGCTCAATATTATTTTCTTTTAGTCTATGGCATTTGAAGGCATACTTTTTCTTCTGCACCTCAGGGCTTGGGTCCAAGTATTCGACTGCCACCCGGCCTTCAATGGAGCTTAATACATAACCCTGCCGAGAGGGAACCAAAGACAAAAATGGTAAATGAATTCCAACCACACTAAACAAAGATGATTATTTCAGAAACAAAGAGAAATTACAGTTACATTTTAACAAAGTGTTTAAGCTGTACTGACATAACTAAGACAACTCTAAAAATTTAGTTACAAATATTAATACCTGCTTGTGAGACATAAATCTATCACCTCTTGCTTGTACCAGTGCTTTATTAAACATTACAATAAAAAATATCTACTTATTTTGTCACACTTGAACAAGAATTTTTAGGTGTTTTAGTCTCATTCATCTCCTATCCAAAAAAGGATGCGAGTTTCTTCTCTAAAAAGTTCAAATGTGTTATTTTATGATGTAGCCTCTTCATCTCTAACAACCATTGTTTCCTTTGCCAGGAGCATCAGTAATCCAAACTGACCTGAACACCAACCTTCCATCTCAGTTGTTCAGCCTCTTATGTTTACTACTACTTAAGTTTGCACATAACACAAACTTCTGGGAATGGTCAAAAGTGGCTTACAGTTTCAAACCTTTTTACTTGCCTTTTAAGTGACAATACACATTTCAAAAAGAAGTAACATAAATTGCTGAATATGAAATCTATTTTTATACCTTTTTTTCAATCCTTCAACATAGGAAATATTTCCTAAAAACTGTTCTCAGAAAAAATTCAGTAAAAGCCTAAACTTTCTCTATGAAGCACAGAAGTCCTACAGAAATGTTTAGATATAAATGTAATTTTTATAATGCAAGCATATTTTAATCACATACTATATTTAATATCTTTAATTTCATATAACTATAATTCCTATCAATAGCAATTTACAAATTCCTGAAAAAATTTGTGATCATCATTTGAGATAAAGAGCCAAGAGAATATAACTTGGTTACTGCTTCCAATTCCACAATCACTAAAGGACATCCATGATTTAAAACATACCTGCCGTTGTAATGACTTTTCTGCCTAGAAAATTCCAATGGCAGCTAACATACCAACAACTCCCCCTTAAAACTGTAAGGATTAAGAACAGGAGGTAATTCACCAATAAACCTACTAATCTCTTTTAATGTTGACAGAGAGAGACCCACCCTGTAAATCAAGAGTTAGCCATTAGATAAGGAGAACTGCCTTACTAATCAAGATGGAGTTTGTTTTTTCAAAATCAAAGTTCCTATTGTCAGAGGGGGAAAATCACTCTATTCAGGATTACAAAAAGTCAAAAAAGAGAATAGGAAATTCTTTAAGATTGAAGTTCCAGGGTCTAGGGATCTAGCTCAGTGGCACAAGCGCCTGTCTGGCAAGGGACAAGGTCATGAGTTCAATCTCCAGTACCCAACCCCCCAAAAAAGAATTTAAAAAAAAAAAGACTACATTTCCAGACTTAAATTTTAATTTACTGATTTGTAAACTGAAGTATCTGTAAAACTCTTTGATTATAAACCTAATAAGCATCCTGTCACTGTTCACCAGGGTCAACAAATTAAGACTTTATTCAATCCACTGAGTAATCCTGTGAGCATGATTTAACTTCTCTGAACATGAACCTCTTTTCTAAGATAAGGGTTAATATATTTATTACCTTTTAACAAACATTATCAAAATACTAAATGAAAACATACTTAACAGCAAATTCTAAGTCAGTATTCCAAAACAAGATTGTATTATTTTCAGCTTCCAGAAAAGTGCAGAAAGGTTAGGTCAGTACCTGTTTGTTTGGAAACGCTCGTATGCAACGAGTCTGGTATTTCAGGCTGGACTCCCTGCGCTGCTGCACATAGCCCATGTTCCGCAGGTCCCACACTAACACCCTGCGGCCTGCTGTGCCCACAATCAGCCGGTCTCCAGACACTGAGAGCGTGTACACCTTTTAAGAGAGATCACAACTTGCTAAAATCCATCTACTTTATGAAAATGGCATATCCCTCCCAAAAGAAATCTATCTAATCATAAAGCCATTAAAAGATTACCTTGATCAGGTTCCTAAACACAAGTATGAATTTTAAGATTCTGCAGTTATTCAAACCAAGTAATTCATTAAAAAAAACCCAGCACACCCATTCTTACCTATTATTACTTACGTATTCTTCCTTCACCAAATGTCCTATAGAAGTACCTAATTCTATAGAAGCACTTTTGAAAACCTAATTTAGTCTGGTGTGTTTTTATTTCTTTTCTTTTTTGTATTGAAAACCTAAACCAATGTGCCCTAACTTGCTTGTTTCATTTAGAGACAATATAACCATGAAAAAAGAAAAAAACCTCAAAAAAGAGTTAATAAAGCTATAAAATTCAAGAATCTTTCAGTAACATAGCTTTTTATAAAACAATAATTTTCCAAGTTATTTTTCTATGACTGCCTTTTGGAAGATTTTATTTTACAACCCTAAAAAACTTGACTTTTTCCCAGATATTAGACTGAATAAACAAGCCTTCCATGGGAAAATGAGGCAGCCATCATTATCTTGCTGATTAATCGCTTTTGGTGGCACACAAACTCAAAATTTAAAGACAAGAATAGTGATCCGTCCTAGGACAAAGCTAATCCTTGCACCTTTACATCATACTAAACATTTACAACAAAAGTTCATTTTTAAGGAAAATTTTAAAAAGCATTTCACTCCCTAAAAGTGTCTATTATTATTTATCTCATAATGCTTTTTCTGTAATATTAAAATATCCACAAAACAGAAATACAATAAACCTTAGAATTTCCTGCAAGCAAAACACTTAGTTTATTGGTTAATACAATGCTACTGGTCACAATGCTGCTTGTAGACCAGAAATACCAAATTCATGAAAAAAGAAGCAAAAAAAATTTTCCCTGAACACTTCAACACATCATTTTTAAAAAAAAAATTATACTTAAGATCCAGAACTGATTATTATTTTCAATTAATAACTGATTCTAATCTAACTTAGTATTTTCAACCCTGAAAAATTACTATAAAAAATGCAGTGGGAGCCTACAAAGTAGCTCGGTGCTACAGCACTTGTCTAGCATGCGTGAAGCCCTGGCTTTCAGCACCAGCACATGGAAAAAAAAAAAAAATAGGTGCCATGATACAGTAAGACATCTCTATAACACTCTGTAATTAAACCATATGGTTAACTACAAGTATTCAACTACCAACCACCAAACAAAAAACTACGTTAGGTTACCAGTGCTACAAAAGCTGTCCTTCAATCTGGTTTTAAAATTAAATATAAGAATTTAAAAGACTGAAAATAACTTATTTAGTGTGTGCAGGTCTAAATGTAGGAAATATTGTAAAATCTATAATAGTTTACTTAGGAAGCAAAATGTTTCCAGGAAAATGAAGTTAGTCTAAGATGTACGAAGTACCAAATTTAAAAAATACACAATCCAGAAAAAAATCAAATTATAATGGTACAATCATAGAGAACTTTACATTGAATCTTTACTATACAGGTGACATACAAGCTTCTAATACTGCTTTGTATCTCGACTGATCATAAATCAAGTGAAACCACTGTCATGCTACTGACTAGGTACATGCATTTATCAAAGAAAGTATTAAAAAGGATGACATAATGAACCTTGCTGAACCAATAAGCAGCTTGATTCAGTGTGCCTGTCCCATTATATGATATTCTGTCAGCAATTTATCACAGTTCTTAACATGTTACATACAACCATAAATCAAAACTAGAAACAATGCAATTATTTTATTCTGAACAAAGGTCTTGCCAGAAGTAGATTCAACTGTGATATGACAAAAATAATGGTTCTCTGGATGCACTACTGTATATAACGATGGCTAACAGGAACTGAATAATATGTTTACAGTGAGGAAACAGATTTAAGTGAAGGGTACCCTTAAATTGCTAACACAATCAACCTTCAAAATTAACTAACACCTGATAAAGTCTTGAGGAGGATATAACAACAATGCCAAATTATACTTTCACGATACAAATCAAAAGGCTAAAAAGTTTCAGTTTTAAAAAGTTTCATTCACTGATAGTCTTCAAACTACATTTCTCAGTATTTATATAGAAGATGTTATAAAAGTATATAGTGAACATTAAATTTTTAAGAATTTAGTATAGTAAAAGACACTGCCATTAATCCCCCATAAAACACTCCCTCTGCCTTCACACAGCCCACTGCTCTTGCCAGTTTCTAAAGCAGTTCGGAAAGCCCTTTCTTGTCTCTAGGTGGGATAATGCAAACTACAATGAATCTACTACCGCTGAGTGCCATCCAAAAGAAAAGCAAGCTTATTATGACGCATTCTCTTCCACCTGTTCTCAGCTGGCATCTCACACTGTGCTATTTCTGGCTCTTCCCCAAAGTCAAAATGTCCATGAAAAGTGAATGTTTCGATCAACTCAACACACCAAGGAGCTGTGATAGTACAACTAAAGACACTCATGAAAGAGGACTTCCAGAACTGCTCCAGAAAGTTGCAAGAACAATGGAATAAGTACATTTGAAGCAAGGGAGACTATTTTGAGGGGGATTAATGGTAATGTGGCCTTAATGTAATAATTTTTTAAAGTTAAATATTCACTTCTTAAAAACCATAATACACAAAAGAAATGACTAAAAACTAGCGAATCTATAAAACCAGTGGAGCTACAAAAAAAAAAAAAAAATCACAGTAAGACACACTGCCAAGAACAATGGAATAAAGGTTTCACAGCAGATGGGAATATTTTGAGGGGGATTAATGTCAATGTGTATTTTACCGTAAGTTTTTATGGGGGGGTGGCTTCTAGAGACAGGGTCTCTCCATATAGTTCAGGCTGGCCTTCAATTCCCTACATAGCATAAGCTGATCTCAAAACTCAACTCATATCCATCTTCCTGCCTCAGTCTCCTGGTGCTGGGATTATAGGCATGTACCTCCACATCTGGCAGCAATAAATTTTCTATTTTAAACATTCACTATGTCTCTTCAATCACATTTGTGATCATATACACAAACACACACAAAGTAAAAGCCAGAGAACACAAGATAATCATTCTCACTAAATCTGAAACGATATCTCAATTTCAGCACCTGTTAATTCAAATGAAACCCTGAGGTCACAAATGAAAATGAGTGATGCTCCATCTTATTTTCTTGTTTGGTCGCTTCAAACTCATTTTAAGATAACTGATAAGTTTTTGTTAAGTGATTTTTCTGAAAACGTAGTGAGCGGTCACTCAGTCCTAAGATTTAAACATTAACAATACATACAAACATGTTCATTTACACCTGTGCTCTCTAGTATGAGTGTAACAACTGATGGAAAACAGATGACCCAAATCCTAGTTAACTTCCTTTATTTCAAAGCAATTCGACATAGTTGGGTTTATAAAACAGACACTGTCAACATTTAATCTCTAAATTAAACAGCATATTCATCAAACACACATCTAGACAAATGACCTCATGGACCGTAATTCTTCCGATAAACATTAAGACCCTACCTTTTCAGGCTGAGAGAAGGTCCCAGCATTACAGGGAGTTCTGGGATCCCACAGTTTAACTGTCTGATCCCAACTTCCAGTAACCATCACATTCACTTCTGGACAGTATTCAACACATCTAATAGGGGCATCATGAGTTCCAACAAGGTTTTCTATACAAAAAGAAAAAGGAAAAAAGAGCTTTACTCTACTAAACAAAGATTCCTCAACTGTAATGATTCTGTTCCTCCAACTCCATGAAACTATCTGCATCCAGAAAAATCTGTAACTACAAAATGTTATCCATTCTTCTCTGTTCACCTTATAATATACAGTTCGATTTATTATGGCATGTATAAAGACTACCTTGAATTTCATATTATGTTAAAATGGTCGCAGGTCTACTATTATCCTCCCGTAATTACAAGCTTCTTACCAGAACTCTGTACCTCTGCGTTCATCTAGTACAAGGTCTGTCTGATACACGTTAGGTGTTCAAACAGAACCTGTTGAGCAGATAAATGAATGGAAAACTCTACTCTTTGGGATCTTGACTCATCTTCCCATTTAACCAACACTTCAAGAGATTTACTTATGTGGTTAAACAATTATGAGAGGCAAGGATGAAGTCTTACCTTCACTTGGTTTTCATGGCAAGTCAAATTTCCAATATATAACTTCTTTCCTACCAATTTCAACTTCCACAATATTTTATTTATTCATTCTTAATACTAAATGCCCACTATGTGCTACAACACATACAACCTGCCAAGCATACAAAAATAGTGTATGGTCTTGAATCTCAAGAACATTATCTTTTTAAAAATCATTTTAAAAAGGGAAGTACAGCATGGTACCTCAGTTCACAAATCTAGTTCACTCCACGATCCTGGGAAAAACAGACACTTCTGTGTTCAGGCAAAAAAGATGGCTGCGGTCATCTCCATCATCTCATGTAGACTTTGCAAACAAACAAACAAAAAAATTTGCCAAACTGTTCACAAACAAAAGTATTCATGAACTAAGGTACTATTATATCTTGTGAGGTTTGGCAATGACTTTCAGAAAAGCAGCAACTAATTTTCTTAAATCAGTCTATTAAAATTTTTTTTAAGTTTTCAAGTAAGGAGAATCTAAACCTGCAGGCTGATTTATTTCACAGGGCAAAATAGTGACAAACAAAACCAAACATAGGCAATTAAAAGTTACACAAGAATATGACTTTTGGGGGCTGGGGATTTAGCTCAGTGGCATAAGCGCCTGCCTTGCAAGTGTGCGGTCATGAGTTCAATCGCTGGTACCGATAAAAACGAAGACTATGACTTTCATACAATAGCCTCTTCTGATTAGATGCTTATTTTTGTTTTTCTTTTTTTGATGAACTGTACCATCTTCCCATCCATTCTTTTGCTATCTAACCTGGCCTCTATACAGTTACAGTCCTGTGCCCTGCCATCTCGTTCAAGTATACTTATGTCTTATGTAATGACACTCAGAGAACTCTGCATTTGGGCTCCCATTTCAGCCTCTACTGTGTGAATGTTATAAAAACTTAGTCATGTCATATCTGAGATTCTTAGAAATCACTTCCTTCCAAATGCAATTGATGTATACTCTACTGCTACATAGAAGGACTGATATAAACATGGTTAGCTGTTTTGTATTTGCTTTTAACATACTTTCCTTTGGTTTAAACTGAATTAGTTTCTAAAAAGACAATCCTAAAACACCAGCACTGTCGTAGAAAAACTTATTGAAAGCCAAACCGCTACAAGATAGTTTTCTTTCTAAGGACAAAGTAAAGATCAAATAAAATTACGTGACATAAACACGTAAGACAATACTCAAAATGAGCTCTATTGCAAAAATGTTTAGTGACAATGATTAACATTTGAACAAAAGAATCCTACATATACAATGTTTTTACTTGCTCCTATTTGACTAGTCACCAAGTAATTCAGCACATCACTCTTCCTACATAAATGATTATACCTTAATATAACCTTAATATATCAGTGAAGAAAAGCTGGAAAAAATGTGGTATTACCTTGATCAGTATTCAAATCATGCATTTTCAACTGATGGTCTAATCCCCCACTCCATGCATGCGTGGGATCCTATAAAATAAAGTTTTACAGAGCTTTAGAGAGCATTTCAAAATTCCCATTTAAATCCTATTTCTCCAGCCAACTACTCAGTTTATCCCCAGGATAATGTTCACTCCGCCCACCTATACAAAACATCCCACAAAAGTAATTGGCAATTGAGGGGACTGCTTTATGCTGATGACTCCAGTAGCTGAAAGCAAACAGGCATTTCTTTTAAAAAGCATCCAAATTAAGTCTTGCTGCAAATACAAGTATCCTATGTACAGAAAGGTTACAAGACTACTCCATAAACCTGACCTTGAAAGAGCACACTGAGGTTCCATGTCTTCAATCCCAAAACACATATGTAATTCACAAAAGCCATACCTACTTCAAGGCAAGTACAGTACTCTACAACAGCTAAGGAGTCGTCCAAATAACTCCCAGTACAGAAGCCTCTACGCAATACTAACAGTACTTTGCTACTATCATGGTCTATCATAATACAGTAAACAGAGAGGCGCATTAACCGAGGCCACCTACATAGAACGCGCAGTCCAGGACCGCGCCAGTGTGCTGGTACTTGAGCCGCATGGAGTTGGCTGGCACATCGTAAAGGCGCACCGACGTGTCCCAGGAGGAGACCAGCAGGAACTGAGAGGTGTTGGGGCTGAACTTCACAGAGGAGATGCCATCCTCGGGTGGCTGGTTCAACTTGAACTCGTTGGAACCTGTCATCTGCAGAACGTGAGCCGAGTGAGTTCCACAGTTCCCAGGTCTGCGAAGGTTGGCAAGCCGCGGGGCGCGTAGGTGGGGAACCCCCAACCAGGTACAGGTGAAGACAACTTGCGCGCGCAGTCTGCGCCCGCGCAGAGCCCAAACCCGCCGGAGTCAAGACTGGCCCAGCCCCTCCCGAGCCCCGCCAAGCCCCGGCCCAGTCGGCCCGCACACGCCTACGCGGGGCACTCTTTCCGCACTTCCCAACCCCGCCAACCACGATTCCACACTCGGTCCTTTTCCTCCCTTCTCCTGGGTCCATGAAATAATAAAGGAGAAACGATAGACTCGAAGCCCCACCCCGCGCCGCGCGCGCACGGATCCGCCTGCTGCGGGTCCTGGAAGTCTGTGTAGAGTCCCCTCCTGCGCCCTGCCCCTCGCCCCGCTACCTTAGCCTCTCCACAGATGCAAACGTCTCTGTCTCTAGCTACCGCCGCCGCCTCCTCAGTTCCTCGGAGCACTCTCCGGTTAGGAGATGGAGGCAAAGAGGAAGTTCCAGCACAGGCTTACCATTGGTTGGTTTCAAACGCCAACGGCTAACTCTAGGCAGCCGATTGGTCCTTTCGGTTGCCTGCCTCCGCCAAGGCAGCCATCCTGTTCCGGCTCAAAGGGAAACCGCGGTTTTCCGCTCACGTGGTCTCTACACGCTCCAAATTGAGGCAGCGTGCTCAAACTGGAGGAGCCGAAACTCCAACTCCCAAGAAGCAGCTCGCCAAAATGCTCTCACGCCTGCCCACGCCCCTACGCGGCACGATGGGAGATGTAGTTCCTATAGAGCCGACGCCCTGATCATCCTCTAACTAGTGGGCAGGAAAGACGCTTGGCTGTTTCCCCACCTTAGCCTTAGACACAAGAATCCCATTTTGGTCAGTACTCCTACAGAGCTAAATTATTCTTTTCTTTTCTTGGCGTTACATATGTTCGCGAAACGAACCAAAAGTTGAAACAGAGAAGAAACCATTTGCTGTAATCAGCTGTACTATTTTGCCTTGATTTCTTGCTCAGAGTTTTCACCACTGAACCAGGGACTCACATTTTCCACTGTGTTAAATTCTGCTGATCTCATAGAAATTCGTCCTTATGTCTTTTATACTTTGTCTCTCCACCCCATCTTTCCACATTTACTGGGCATCCATGATCCCAGGCCTAATTAGAGGTTCTAGGAAGATCCACTTAATCAGACTAGTCTTTGCTCTGAAGGAACTCCCTGCCCAGGAGGGTGTACAGACTGAAAACAAATATTCTGCAATGTGTTAAATTCAAATAGCTTCTTTTAGAGCTGTGTTCATCATGGGATCTTAAAATGATAGTGACAAACCTCTCCCCGTCTATATTGCTCTCAATTGCTACACTTTCTCACTCTTGAGTCCTCCAGAAATACAACAACCAATAAAGTTGCTTTGGTAGAGAAGCGATTTTATCTCCATGAAAGAAACACAATGAATGGAACAGTGACTGGATTTCTCTTGGACCTCAACGTCTTGCTGAAATTTTTCAATACTTTTTAAAACCATAAACCTCTTTTTTTACTGCCTCTTTAGAGAAAAAAGCCTTATTTTGTACAAAGTGGCGGGCAAATGTTGGAATTAAAGTGTTTAACTGTGAGGTGTATTCATAGGAGAAACTTCTTGATCTTTATGTATTCACACGTTCTGAATGGGATGCACTTCTGATTCCTGACAGTAAACATACACACAACAACCCTTTTAGCTATTGCATTGATTATGTTATTGCTAAAAGAGTCTTGTTCTTTTTTCTCACTAGTCCTTGTATTTAGTTCTGTCTGTTCTCTTTCAACAAGTTGATGTGTAAGTTGAAATTTTTAAATGTAATGCCTTATTTCCATTCTAACTTTAGCTAAATAATTTCATCTCGTGACTTATTTGGTTCCCTCTCCCAGTTGTTTATTTAATTCTATTAGTGTTTTGAGATTCTGAGCATAAATTACCCACTAATAAAATAAAAGTGTATTTCATTATACAGTGTGTGTATGATTCAGGTCCCTCTGGGAATGCAGTTGCAACCCGACTCGATTTGAGTTTTAAGAAACGTCAATCTTTTAAATCCAGTTTAGAGCCTGAAAGGAGACTGATGATTTTGCTGATTATTCAAATGAATTGATAGTCTCAAAATAGGAAATCTGGCAACAATGGATACTTGAATATTTTAAATCAAAATGCAGTCCTCTGTTTGTATCTGTATAACAGTTACCTGTAAGGGAAATTCCTAGAAACTAATTACTCCTTTGGATCACCTGTGACTTTCTAGTTTTTCTAAAATGGTGAGATATATACACTATCTAAGGCAAATTGAAAAAGGATCCTTACCTAAAATCTAAGAATAAATCACTAAATGCCTATATAACTAGAGGAAATTCCCTCCTACAACAGAAGCAAGCCTAAAATGAATCTGACTCAACACTGTTAAAACCATCATCAAATTATATGTTGAAATGCATACAAGTATGATATGGATGGACTATTCTTACACAAGAAGTTTCTCAGAAGTAATTTGATTATTTCTGCATGGAATATTAAGTAGCAACATTAGAGGAAAAGAACTTAAGAGGGTCATCTGGGGGGAAAAATCTTCTGCAAGATGAAATATATGTAGAAAATAAACCAGAAAACACATCCATGTCACTTTTGTTCTCACTCTGACCTATACCCAAAACTTAGTGTAGGTTTTCAAAACATACTAGGACTCACTAAACATTAATGTGGTCTTGGCTAAATGCAGTAAATGTACCTGAACCAAGTACATTGGCACAATTGATAACTTAAAATTGTAGTTATTTTTCAAAGCTAATAGAAGAAAAAAACATTGAACAGTATCTGAATTTTTTTTGGTCAGATATTAAACACAGAATAATGTGGGTCACAAAAAGTTTACAAATAGTCTGTATATTTCACAAAATGAAGATGGTTGATGCCTTTTGGCTCAAAGAGACAAGTCTCTCACCCAAACGTTTCCTTTCTAGAGATTGTGCTCCGGCCTCTGCCCTGTAGACTCCCCCAGGTTTTTGCACCAGTTTAACGGGATACCGGCCTGAGGCTGGAGGGCCTCGGTCTATGTGGGGCTCCCTCGTATTTCCATTTCCTATATTTTACAAGGAACCAGTGGGTGCGATGTCACGGGAAAGGGGGGCTGGTATTTGCATGACTGGAGCGCGGCGAATCTCTCCGTGCAGCGTGTTCTTAGCCCCAGTGTGGCGGTGGTGCCTGGACACAGAAGTTCTTGGGCGTCTTCGCCGCGCATCACTGCTGAGTACAGAAAGAGCGGCTGTGTGCTGGCCTGTCCTTTAGCAGTTAGCCAAGCATAACGCAAACTACTGTATTAACAACCAAAAAGAGTCTGGGGAAGCGCCTTTGCCTCCTGCGCACTTTTGGACCTCGGACCTCTGTGCAACCTTGCTACATTCAGTTCCCGCTATGCGCAGGATGCGCCACTGTACGTGGCTGTAAGCCGGTCGCACCAGGCTCAATGCGACAACTGGACATTTTACCAGCTGACAAGCAGCGCCGCCGCCTGCCCCACGTCGCATAAGAAGCGGCACGAGGCATAGTTCGTGCTGTTTCCTAGCGTGCCCCGCTTCGGACAAGCCCGAGGTGACACAGTGCAAGGAAGATGCTCTTAGCTCCCAGGCTCGGCTTGTTGCCGGAAGGCAATCGCTTCCCTCGCTTCCCTGCCTTTGTCTGTCTGCACGCGGGCTCTGCAGCCTGATCTACCCCGAGTGCTGCCCCAGGCCGCACCAAGATTGTAGGGACTGCAAGTGGGAATCGGGAAGTGCGCAGCGAAAGTTCTGCCAGGGCTGCTATAATGTTCTAACCTTTAACCGAGGCCCCACCCTCCACGTGGTATGCAGTGGAGTTCTGCCAAAGAAAAGCCAGACAGCGTCCTACACCTTACATGCAAGATAATCAGTCCCTCCTTATAACGATGTTTAAAATGTTTTATTTTTTCTTTTAAAATATTTACAGATCCAAACTACCCCCATTTCGCCCCTACCCATCCTCAGGATGAAGGAAACGAAAACAGGTGATGAGATCAAGGTCCAAAGCCCCAGAGGGTTTGGTTTGGCCGAATGTGAGTGCATATACATTTATCCAGCTGTATATATGGGTAGGAATAAATCTTGTCTGTTGTTGTTGGTGGTGTTTTCTGATTTTTCCCCCCACTAACCAAAGCTGATCTGGCCAAAGCTCCCTTTCCCGCAACAACCCGAGAATATCCCCCTCCAAAAATGGTTTTCAAAACGCATTGGTTTGGTTAAGATGGAAAGCAGGCGATCTGGCTTGAGGAATGCCGATAAATACCCGAACAAAACAAAAAAGTAGGGCAGAGCCCATAAATAAGAGATAATGAATACACATGGTGTATTACTTAATATTTCTGGAAACACGCCCTTTTGCTCTAGAGCCCTGTGAAGGGCGCAAGTTGCGCAGGGTCCGCGGGCAGGCGGCGCGCGGCCGGCGGGCGGGTCAGTAGTCGAGCTTATTGTACAGATTGTAGAGCGGTAAGGCGGAGAGGTTGCTGCTGGGGTAGTAGAGCGGTGCAGGGAAGGCGAGAGAGCGTGGCACCGGCACGCGCAGCAGCGAGCTGTCCCGGAACACCAGCGGCATGCCCACCAGAGTCTGCGCCGACGCGTGCGCCATGTTGGCCGCCTCCAGCTCTGCGGAGAGTTGCCGCTTCCACTTGTTGCGGCGATTCTGGAACCAAGTCTTGACCTGGGTCTCAGTGAGCTGCAGGCTGGAGGCGAGGCAGGCACGCTCCGAGCTACTCAGGTAGCGCTTCATGTCAAAGGTGGACTCGAGCTGGTACACCTGGCTGCGCGAGAAGACGGTGCGCGTCTTCTTCTTGGCTGCTCCCGCCTGCCGCTCAGCGCCGGTGTCCCGCTGCCGCTCAGGACCCGGCGAGGGTGAGCCCGCAGCCAAGAGCCTCTCTTTTTCCTCCTTAAAGTCCGAGTGTGAAGGGGAGAGGAAAGGCGTGCGCTCCGAGCCCGCCGGTCCAGCACCTCCGCTGCCCTTCGAAGTACCTGATGATGGAGAACAGAAAGGAAGGTCATGCAGTTATAGGCTTTTAGAGACCCCCAGCTTTTCCCAGGACCAGGGGGTTAGCAGATGCCAGCAGTCTTGGCCCCATTTTACCAACCCCTTTCCCTTCTCCCTCTTGCTGCCATCCAAAGCCCAGCGCTCAGGCCTTTAAAAGCAACAAAAGAGAGATCCGACTAATTTGAGGATCTTTGTGCCCCCACCCTTGAGAAAGCATAGGTAGCAGCAAGAGGAGGAGGTCTGGATGGAAAATATTAAGATCATTTAAAATGAGATTACGCCTTGTAATAACTGTGCTGGAAGAGTTCCTCCAGGTTTATAGGGTGGCATCATTTCACAGGCCATTTATTTGTAAATCATGCTAAGGATTAACGCTGGGCCCTCCTTCATCAAATATTGTAAAGTGGAATGGTCTCTAAAACGCATGATTGTCAATCTTCTTAGAGTGCTAATCATTCCCGGAGTGTGTGTGTGTGGGGGGGGGGACAGAGACAAAAGGAGGAGAGAAAAGATGCAAAGAGATTGCAGTAGAGACAACACTCACACCAGAGTGACAGACCTTGCGTCCAGAAAGTATCCCGTGTACAAAGATTGAACGCAGAGCCACATTTACCCCGCTGGCAGCCCAGCCTGCGGTGGTTCACTTTCCCTGTGACCCAGTCTTCCAAAAGAGCCCGCAGGGTCTGCGTTCCCCTCTCCTCCCAAGTGCCTCCCGCCCAAGAGTCACATCTCGAGTGTCCGGTCCCTTCGCCCCGATTCCCAGCGACCACAGCTCTGGCCCAATGTGGCCCGGGGCCGCAATCCTGGCCGGGACCCACAGCCTCGCTCCCTCGCGTTCACTCACTGCCAGGCTGGCGAAGTGCGATCCTTACCCAGACAAGTAAAAGGGATGGGGGGATGGTGTTTGGAGCCCCGCTCCTTGGGACCATGCGAGTCTGGGCAGTAGCAGGCGGGCGCCTTCCAGCCGTCGTCCGGCTCCTCCTCCTCCGAGGACACGGACAGGCTGCGTTTCCTGGCCGGCCAGCCGACCGGCTCCCTCGGTGCTTCCGAGGAGCCCCCGCCCAGGATGGACTGGATAGTGAAGCTGGAGACGCCACCGGCCGCTGGACACCCCTTGCCCACATCTTCCTTGCTGCCCATCCTGGGTTCATAAGAAATCGGAGGAAACCAAGAACTCCCTTTAGAGACGATCTGGGTGGAAGGTGGTGCAAGCAAGCAGGCAGGCAGGGGGGAGGGGCAAGGAACGAAGCCAAAGGGAGGGGGCGGCGAGGCTGGCGAAGAGTCCCTTTCGCGCTGGGGACACGCGCGCGCGGGACGGCAGCGCAGGGGTCCCTGCCCGCCGAATTCGGTGCACCCGCCCAGCCCGGGTGCGAATGTCCCTTCCTAGCGCGCCGGCTAGCTGGGTCTCCAGCGGCGCGGAGGCGGCGCGGCCTCATTTGCATAGAGGTTACCGGAATGCGGCCAATCGCAGCGGCGCAGAATGGCCCCGGAAAATTTCAAAAAGCCCTGGCCAGGCTCACAGTGCAAGTGAGCCCCCCAAAGCACGCAGAGAACCCAACGGGCATTAGCTCTGTCCAAGTGCGTCCAGGGCCAAACGCAGTGTAGATTCCAGCCTGACTTCCTGATCTCTGCCACGGCTCAGATCCCCAAAAGACTGCCTCTGCGCAGGCGAAGCATCCTCGCACCTTTGAGGGGCTCTAAGGGGCTGCCACCACCCTTCGCAACCCAACACCCCATCCCTTTCCCCTCTGGCAAGGACAGAACTGTCGCAGCTCGCGCAGATGCAGGTGGGGTTAAAACCCGGGGTCTCAAACCGACGCTTACCTTGAATGCGGCTGGGAGCCTCAGGAGCAGAAATTTTCTGCCCTTCCCCACCTATAAACCCACCCTTATCGCGGGCCAACGAGCCACAGGCCACAGGATTTTAAGGATGGGGAAGCCCGAAATCTGGAACCCGGAGAACCTAGTTCAAATCCAGGCACTGTTAAATTACACTGCGCGTTAACTTGCGCAAGTGTGGTCTCAGAGCTTGCCTGCCCTCAGGTGAAACGAACTCGTTAGCATCTTCTCGGTTTTGAAAACTGCCTCAGTTAGGGATGGAAAAGCACCAGGTGATCCGGAAGCACTAGCAGCATAGAACACATACTTACTTCCTAATCCCCAATCCTAAGTGAGTTTTTGATTTTGTAAATTAGAGATTTCTGAATTACAAAACAAACAAACACCTTGCTCCAAGAAGGAGGTCGCTGAATGGATCCGGTTTTAGAAAGTTTGTTCAAATACTAGTTGAGGGGCCTTAACTATGCAAGATGCCTCGGTTTTCTCATTCCTAAAACTGAGGGAAGCAATGCCTAACTGGCAGTGGCTGTTCCAGTACCCAGCCGGGCACGGAGGTGAATAAACCGTGGTTTCTTCTTAACGCACCACTCCTGTGAGTCCTGGCTCTCCTCTAATCCCTGCACCAGCTATTACCTGATTAAAACTATCCAGACGCAGGCAGGCAAAAAGGATCTGAGGCCACAGTCGTCTACACAAACTGTATGGAAACGTGCGAGCGCGGCACAAAGAGCCCAAGCAACTCCACCCTGCATTGCGCCTTCATACTGCTCAACGAAGAGATTCCGCGAGCCTAGACTCTAAGGTGCAACCCAAATGTAGCCAAGGATGAAGAGGCTGTGGAATCAGTCCCCACAAAACATGCAGACGCGGCGCCATGACGGTGCAGTTCCTTCCTCGCCCTCACCGCTCCGGGGTTATTGAGTAAAGCGCTTATAATATCATTAGCCTCGGTGAGTTACCGACTGCGGCCCTGCCCGTGGCAGAACTCTGCCTACTTAACTCCTCGAAGGGCTCTTTAATGGGCTAATTGATTAGGAGTCCGCAGAGCAGCCGGGACAAGGAGCAGGCGAGGGGGCGGGGGGGGGGCAGAGGCTGTGCGGCGCTGCCCCGGAGGCCGGTGAGGGGCAGGTGCTGGCCTCCGTCACCGCATTAACCTCTTCAGGGCTCGGCGTCGGGGTCGAGACACATTACAAATGGTCAGCTTTAATCATGGTGTCAGCTCATTAACCCGGAAGGACCCGGCGCTGAAATACAATTTGTGCGTCCTCCTCTGCGCGGCCGCGGCGGCGCAGGCTCCCGGGTCTCATTGCAGCTCCTCTGGCGCTCTCTTTCTGTTTTGTAGAGAGGAAGGAGATTCTAGGAAAGAAATGCCTCACTCTTTCACTAACAACCGGCCTCTGTTAGGCACTCTGAGCCAACACAGCCTCTAGAGAGAAGCGGTGGTCCAACTTGGGCAACAGAGCTCGGAGCTACCCAGCTGGAGTTAAGCCCAGGAGGCAGGGGGCGCAGGAGTTGGTTAAACCTTTCTGAGCTCATAAATACTTGGTGCCAGAAACATGCTAGGAGCTCCTCATCGTTTGTCACTTTAATCCTTACAGCAAACATGACACAGATTCCTCACCCCCGTCCTCTGTACAGAGGGAGAAACTGAGGCTGGCGGTGGTTTGACCAAGCCAAGCAGAGGAGGTAAGATATGCTCAAAGCTGTTTCGCTGACAGTAGTGCACCCTTGGAAGCAGGTAGCTGGAAGAAACAGGCTTTGACTTTGAGTTTGGCGAATGCCTGCGGGAAAGACTGAGGACAACGGGCGGAGGCAGGTGTTAAGAACCCAAAGAGCAGATCTATTACGGGGCAAGAACCGTTGGAGGCCACCACACAGCTGATGCGGGCCTCGGAGATGCAGCTCCCAGGCCAAAGATTCCCCAGACACTGGAGAGTCCAGCTTGAGGACTCCAAACCAGAAAACTACAAACCTTGAGAGGCCACTTAGCCCCGCTCCTAAGACTAGTTCCCCACAGCCTGTCTCCCTTCTAGCTCTAAGGATCCGGTCCACTCACAGATGCCTCCTCGGTCCTCAGCACTCCGCATCCTTTAATCTTCGAACACGTACTTGCATAATAGCTTGCACTCACACACATTCATTCAGCAAATGTCCACACGCACGCACGCGTGCGCGCGCGCGTACACACACACACACACACACACACACACACACACACACACTGAGGCTCAAGGGAGGTGCGGCAGATTTGGCAGACTCAATGCTCTATTCCCCTATAGCCTCGAGCTCTTTTGGGCTCCCCTCGACTGGTTAGTCATCCTTAGTTCTCGAACACACTCACAGCAATCTACCGCAGTGGCTGCAAGGGTCAAGACACTAGGTCTGCTACCCTCCGCCCCTTTCCGGCTTCTGGGCATCCCGGAGACTTCACTAGGAGCGGAGAGGTTAAACGCCCTCTCCCGGGATCAGCGTGGCCGCAAAAACCCCTCCCAGGAGCCCTGGGAACCACCACCAACACACACCTGGTCTCTGTGCCCTCACGAGTGTCAGTGCTTTAACCCGCACTAACCCATCCTTCTGGACTCGGGGTTGCCCCGCCCACCCTACTTCTGGAGAATTGCCTTTCCGTGTCTTTGGGAGAGCCTTCCTCCTAGGAATTAGCAGAACTGAGTTCCAAAGAATGATAAACTTTCTGAGACTGAAAGAACGCTTAAAGTTTAGGTCCCGAGATTACGCCGCTGCTCAATATTAAAGCGGCCCAGAGCAAACTTGCCGAGGAGCCTAATAAAAATTGATCCTCTCTGTGCTGCAGCAGTTGGGAAATAGGCCGGCTGAGCCGGGTAATAGTGGAAGAAGGCTCCCTCCGAAATGACAGATGAAGTCATAAACAAGTTTGATCTTGGAATCAAGCTTCGATAAATATTAAACACAGTCTGCCCCCCCTTCACGCGAGTGGATTATGATATATGGCGCGTCCAAACTTTAAAATAAGGAAATACCAGAGAAAATGATCTCAATAAATTTTCTAAGTATAAACGTTGATTATGTTTCGATTTTCATTCAAGGGCCTCTGCTGCTCCTTCTTTGGTGCAAATGACATCTCGCAATAGGCTTTTGGGGAAAAGGGCTCCCTATTTGAAAAAGAGAGCCCCAGAGGTGTACAATTTATGTAATCTGCGGCTGGAAAATGAATTGTGTAATTTATTGGAAAACAGAAAGTCATGAAGATTGGATCAGCATAGGCGAGTCCCGACACCCCCCTCCCACATCCATCAAGTTCCAATTAACAGCCTAACCAGAGAGCTTTAATGGGTTTCCAATCTAGTGGTCTGATAGACTCATCAATTCCTCTGGGAGAAATTAAGAAAATCGACCGCCCCTTGGCGACGCAGTGTCATTCCTTTCTGCAACTATATGTCAAATTAAAAACACAATTAAAATTTAAACTGTTTCAATCAAAGGGTGCCCTGCAACCTATGTTTCACTTAATAGAACTTTGATGAAAATCTGATGCGTGCACTCCATCACCAAGGGGGGTGAGGGCAGTGAAGGAGCTCAGGAGAGATGAGGATTCTTTATATTTCTTTAAGACGTTGGCTAGGATGAGGTATACCGGGTGAGGACTCCTCACTACTTCAGCCTCTCTGATGGGTACATCTTGTGCTTTCCCTCCACTCTTGGGTTGCATCTCTTCCCAGCTCCTTTTCCTCTCTGTTAGCTGAAACTCCAAGGAATCCCTTTGGAATCCCCAGCCACTAAGACTTTGGGTAGTTTTCCCCCAGGCACGTCACACGGAGTGTCAGGCAAGGAAAGGGCCTTGATGAATACAATCAGTGGGCACCTCGTGGAAACTTTCTATGGAGATACCCTGCAGCTTCCTGCTATCCCTCAACTCTAGATCCAAAAGTGGCCCAGTGTTCTGATACCCTTTGGCATCCTGGAGGTGGAAGTGTAGGGAGGAATCTCACTTGAATAAATAGGTCCCAGGGAGAGCTAGAGTCCTACTGTGGTCCCACTCAATTCCCCACTTTAGTTGTCACTCTCCACCCCTATCCTCTTTTCAGGGTACTTCTGCAGAAGAAGTGTAGCCTAAATCTCAATCCAAGATCCTCCTAGGAGACACCAGATGAGGCTCCAATGTACACCCAGCCTAGTGGCCTTCTTGGGTATTCAGTCTCTTCCAACCCAGCTCCCAAATGTTTGAAGATCAAAAGGCCAATGCCATCTGTTCTGTATGTGGACATGTGCACATTTGCACACACAAGCATGCACATTTCCAGATGCATACACCCAAGTGCAATGCATTCCTTAAGGCTTACAGTCAGGAAGGGCTTGCACAAGGCAGCAAGTGGGCAAAAAGCTGAGAGGAGGAACATCGAGTATAGCTCCTTCAGGGTTACTCATGTGTGAGGGGAAGCGATTTCTCTGGGTCTTCCTGGCTGTGTGTGGGATTTCCCTGGGACACACAGTTCTTGCTCTCTGACTCCTTCATACTAGGCCCAGCAGAGGAGACTTTTCCTAGCTACTTTGTGGAGTCTGTTTGGATTCTAAGTGGAAGAGGATGTGGGCTGGGTTGCTGGGCCATAGGACATTGAAAGCCTGGAGAGTAGGACAAAATGGAATCTTAGAGGGGATCAAAGCTTTGCTTAGCAGAGGCTCAGGCCCCACAAGGCTCTCCAAGGGAGTTCAGGTGACCTGTACAAACAGAGGGGTAAAAGCAGTGAGTGGTCCTGGGCAAGGAAGACCAACATCCCTCGGCCTCACCAAAGAGCTTGAAGGCCCAGACTGCAATCCTAGGGGTCCCCATGGCTCTCACCTACACCCCTATCTCCCTTACCCCACACAGCTGCAAAAAGCAAAGCAAATCACACTGACCTTTTTGCCTCCTCTTCCTCCCAATTCCACTTCCAGACTCTCAGGCAAAGAGAGGTGGGTGCTCTGTGGTTCTCTGATGTGGCCTCTAGCTCTGGCATACAAGACTCTGTCAAAGGGGTGGCCCCACTCAGAATGAGCACCACTGGCAGGGGGGCAGTTTATATCTGTCTTGCTGTTGTTTGATGTACACACAACCACTCTATTTACTACCAAATAAAAGAAATACATCTGTGTTGCCAACAGAAACAGTTCAAACACCGGCTCCTTGGTCTCCCAGGGCCTGGAGGCACTCTGAGGTGCTCAGAAGATGCTCAGAGCAGCAGAGCTGGACACCATAGGGACATCACAGAGTAAGGCTTTGGCTCTTAGGAGTATGAAAGCTAGAGGACGATGAGTGTTAGCTCAGCTGGTTTGACCAAGTGACTTGTGAGGAGGCAATGAAGATAAACTTGTTCTGAGGTTTTCAGGCTTGTGCTGCAGTGTGGGGAGACTACTCCACTCCCTGCCCATTGATTTCTAGGATTCTGTGCAGTTTGCCTTCACCTGGGGCCACTGGAGAAAACCAGTTGGCCAGAAACAGTGTGTAACTGCATCTGTGCTTTAATCATCTCAACGATGCTAAATTCTTATGTGTCAGTACTAGAATCTCCCTGCTATGTGTCTGTCTGGAAGTATAGAGGGAGTGCATGTATGTGCTGAATGTTTATGTCAAGTATGAACACATCCTACATTGTTTACTTGTGGGCGATGTAGAAAGGATTCAGATGTGTAACAAATAATCTGTATTGATGAAGATTAACTGGGGTACAGATTCAGAAGGATCTGAAGGTAAGAGAGAGAGAGAGAGAGAGAGAGAGAGAGAGAGAGAGAGAGAGTTCTACAATCTGCAGGAAAAGTAAAATAACAAAATGGGGCTGTCCACACAATGTCCCAGAAAAGACTGCACTGAGTTCCCCTATGGAATGTTCAGGAGAAATTTTAGAAAGTCCCTTTTTTTGATGAGTGGTTCCAGCAAATCTTTGCAGAGGTTTTCTAGATAATACAGCCAGTTCTCCAGAGATGACAGTTTCATCAACTGGACTCTCCTGACAGAAAAATCTGTAGTGCAGCCTAGGATGTTTCCTGCTCAGAGAGGCTTTTGTATTCCTCATCCCTGCACCCTGGTTCCACTCTTGCAGTGGCAGCAATACAAGGACTCAAATCAGTGAGAGGGAAGTGGAGGTTTCCCACTTGAGTAGGTTCCTAGGCTTACACAGCCTATCTCCAGGCTATAATATCCTCCCTTAAGGTGTTATCTTGGCTCTGGGTATAGACCAATGGGCCCAGGGCAGGGAAGCTCCTCAGTGGGAGGGCAGCTCCGAGCAGGGCAAAGCATAAACTGTACTTGCAAAGAACCAGTTACTTCTTGACTTTGTAAAGACCAGATCAGTCAAGAACCGTTTTCTAGAATCCAAACAAATACAGAAGTGTTTTCTTGGCGTTTGATAACATCGTGTTCTGACTGTAAAATCTAAGCACGTGTTTGCTATTGCAACATTATTTTTAATGAGTTGTTACTGGCCTGTCCTACAGTTAGTATTGCCAACAGTAAAAGGCATCACTGTGTTTGCAGGTAACACAAGGAACAACATATTTGACCCTGAATTTCTGTTTATTTTTCATTTTAGACACATGCCCTCGTTTTTATTCCAAACCAGAAGAAAATAAAGGGAAATCTATCTTCACTGGAACCCCGACTAAAACTTTGTCGTGAATAAGCATGCTGGTTCATTGCGGGGGGGGGGCGGTTTTTCATCAGCAGAAAAACGATACTCAACACTTGGGCCGCATTTGAATCAACTGTAGCGACTGGATTTGAGGTGCCTGGCAGCGCACCAGGAGAAAGGAGAGAGCGCAGAAAGGCGCTCTCCAGCGGCATCTTCTGGCGGTGTATTTCCCTCTGGAAGCTTCCGGGCCTTTGCCTTCCACGTCTCCCCCTTTCGGCTCCCAAGCTTCAAAGTGCACTGCACGGGTGGTGCACGGACATCCCCAGTTTGAAGGCTGGTGGCACGCTGGTTTGGCCCCGGGGAGCCCTTGCACTTTTGCGGGCGGACTGGCTCTTCCAGGAGGTCGCAGCGCGCCTTTCCTCTCAGGCTGCGCACCAAGACAGTGGTGGCTGGGCGCCTGGAAGCAATGAACGGCGTGCTTCCCGGGGTTGGCCTGGACGTGGAGACTCAGAAAGGCTGCCCTCAAAGTGTTGGGTATCGATGGACAGAGATGATGGACAGAGATATCCTAACCAGAAAGGAACAGGGTCCTCTCCGTTGCCACAGATGCAGCCAGGTGGTTTCAGTTTTCTAGCATCTAACACATTTGGACAGTGCCCGGGGACAGCTCCGGCAGCAGAAACTCCCTCAAGTACCACGAAAGCATCCCCGAGGTACAAATAGTAGTCCCAGTCCAGAGAGGTAGATGGCTTTCCCGGAGGCTGCCCTCTCCAGGCCAGGCCTTTCCCAGCTAGTCTTGATGATCTGTCTCCTGCTGCAGCTAAACTCAGCTTACTGGCTTCTTTCCTCTAACACTTTCCTGTGGGCAACTGGAACCACCTGCGTTCCTAGCCAGGTATCTTAATGCCGCCCTACCCAGAAACTCTTCTTAAAGTAATCATGTCTTAGGAACAGATCGTGAGGCTGCAGCCCTAAGCTCAGAAATAACAGATGTCTCTAAAGCGGCTGTTGCTTTGCTCACTGTTGGAAAACTAGGTACGACTAGATCTTTACTTCTGCCTCTCAGTCTTCCCTGCTCCCAGGGCGTTTCAAACCTTGGAAGATACAGGGGAGAGTGCAGCCCTCCTCACAAACAAAGCCGCCTCTGTCTCTGCTGCCTGCTGAATTATAGGGGTGTGCATCTAGGTCAGACTTAAGCACAGAGACAACCAGAGAGCCAGATGGAAAAGTGGTGAGAGGATACCTGCTCTGGGAAGAATTACACAAAGTTACACACTCTGGCAACAGGAAAGGCTTCGTTTTTCTTTTCTTTTTAATTAAATTTCATGACAACATTAAGTGTAACAATATTTTGTGAAGTGTTTTTTTCTTTTTCTTAAAAAGGGACTGATCCTGGCAGAGGAAAGAGAGATTAGGGGAAACAAACTACTCCAGACCAACAGGTGTAGCAGACAGAAAGAAAACAGATCAGACAGCAGAGCCCAAAGCCCTGCAGACTTGAGGGTAAATTTTACAAGAAATCTGTACATTTATCAAATAAATTAAAATTCTCCTAAATTGATTGTCCTTCACTTAAAGCGCTCCAGTATATTTAACTCCTTTGAGCATTGCTACCTATCCTTGTTTTCTTCCTTCCCCCTTTTTCTCTATTTAATTTTTCTCTTTCTACACAAGTATCTGTGATTACACTGCCAAAAAGTTCTTTCCTCCTGAAGAAAGGAGCAGGGCTCTCAAGAAATTTTGTACAATATTGCACAGATCAAAACAAAAATAGATACTGCAGAATAAAAATGTAGGGGAGAGGATCAAAGATACAGTTTTTTTTAAAATATTGAAACCATTCTCTCAAAAACAGGAAACAAACTAATAATAGTAATGTTAATAATTTACTGATAAGTGAAATCCCCCAAATATATGCTACTAATAAATAAGACCACTCAAATCCGACAGATGTAGAACTGTTTCCATTTTCAGAGTCCTGATTTTTGATGTTTTAACTTTTCCCTTTAAACAATTAGAGAATTATTCGCTCACAAAGTGAGACAGATGAAGAGGTTAATTGCCAGACTTTTCCCGGAGAGAAAAGAGGCCCAAAACAGGATTCCTCTGAGAGGCTGCTCGAATTCTGAAAACCAGAGAGGTAACTGGTTAGGGGTGGGGAGGAAGAACCACACCCTGAAATCCAGAAATCGTACTACCCTATGAATCCTTTCCCTCTGGATTCTGGATATTCTACAGAAAGTGAGTAAACTAAAGGGACTCAGATTTTGCGCTTACTTTTCTTCTATAAAAAGAAAACCAAAAAGTCACAGCGCAATGCAAATTTAGGGATAGGGCTGCACATTTCACAAAAGCTTTCAGCCAAAATATTTGACCTGGATATGTTATCATTTTCTTGCTTTCTCTTAGTAACCAAAATCAGAAACAAGAGGAGAAGCGCCTCAAATCCATTAGGGATGAATTGCACGAAAATGCATTGCAAATACTTACAAAATGCTACCGATTGGGGAGGGGGCCAGGCAGTGTGCGAAGCCCGGTTCCCAAGGCCGCAGAACATTTCCGCACCCTCCGCCCGGCCCAGTCTCCTCCGGGATCCGGGAAGGTGCCCGGGAACTCCCTTCACCTCCCCTCTCGGGCCTCAGACCGGCCGTAGCAGCGGCACGGAAGAGACCACGGGGTGCGAGTAGTAGACAGGGTGCGGGAAGGTGAGCAGCGGCTGGCTGACCGGCACCGGGGCCCCTGCAGCGGCAGCCGCCGCGCCCTCGGCTGCCGAGTTCTCGTGGTAGAGGATGGGCACGCGGACGATGCGCTGCGCCGCGGCGTGGCTCAGGTTGGCCGCCTCCAGCTCCGCGGCCAGCTGCCGCTTCCACTTGTTGCGGCGATTCTGGAACCAGATCTTGACCTGCGTCTCCGTGAGGTGCAGCGAGGCGGCCAGCCCGGCGCGCTCGGAGCTGCTCAGGTAGCGCTTCATGTCGAAAGTGGACTCGAGCTGGAAGACCTGGCTGCGCGAGAAGACCGTGCGCGTCTTCTTCTTGCGACACGCGGGCTTCTTCTCGGGACTCTCGGCGCCCTTCTTCCAGTCCTCGTAGCCCGGCGTCGCGGACGCCGCCCCTACGCTCGCCCCGGCCGCACCCGGCGCCGCCTCGCCCTCCTTCTTGCCTTCCTCCGAGTCGCTCTCTTCCAAAATGATCTCGTCCGGGCTCTTAGAGTCCAGCTCCTTATGGTCGGGGTCAGCCTTGAGCAGGGGTTCCGGGGAGTCGCGGTCAGTGCCTGAGGCGGGGGAGGAGTCTCGCAGGAGTGTCTTCTCCGAGGCTGGGGAGACAGACAGACGGACGCACACACACGCACACAGACACAGCTTGAGCGGGGCCCGGAGCCTGGAGGCAGCATGCTCAACCCGCACCGGCCTCCAGGCCCTGGGCCCTGAGGCCTGACCACTCTCGCGGGCCTCTTGCAGCCCGGCTGGTCTGGGGTAGGGGCGCCGAATCCTGGGATCCCCTCCTCCCGAACACTTTGGAAGAGATGGTAGCCGCGCGGCCGCCCCTTCCCTTCCCAAAGCTCCCCTTGCAGGGGGCCGCGGAAAGCTTGGCCGGCCGCCTGGGTCGGCCTGAGTCAACCCCTCCTTCCAGGCAGCGCTCCCAGCCCTGGCTGTCAGAAGCCACCCCCTTCGTGCCTGAGGCCGCTTTTCCCGGGAAGCGCCCGGCGCCCGGGTCTCCAACTCCGCCTCTTTTCTCACCAAGTGGGATTGGATTCCCGGACAGCGCAAGCGACCGCGCTGGCAGGAGATGCAGGCCGAGGGCCGGAAGAAGTTGGCCCAACATCGGGTTTGCGGGAGTGGGGATCCCAGATCTGCGGTGGAAACAGCGCCGCGCGGGGACAGGACGGCGCGCGGGGGAGAAGAGAACGAAAGTTCAAAGAGAGGTCGGTACCTTCAGGTCGCGGGAGGTGGCCGCCGGCGGGGGTCAGGGTGTAGGGGTACCACCAGGCCGGGGAGCGCTCCAGGTAGTGCGCAGGCAGGGCAAACCTCTGCGTTGGGATCTCAAAGCGAGGGAAAGCCAGGTCGCCCACCTGCGAGAGCGCGAAGCCCGCGGCGCCCTCCAGGGCCCCCTTGGCTGCAGCGGCAGCGGCGGCAGCGGCAGCGGCTGCCGAGGCTGGCGCGAAGAGAGTCCGAGGGGGCGGTTGAGGCTTCGGGGGCGGCCGGTGGTGGTCTCCGTTGAGTAGGTTCTTGATGGAGAACGGGGACTCCTTGGGCGCCGGAGGCAAGGGTGGCGGTGGCGGCGGGGGCTGAGCGCTGGCGGTGCCCGCAGCTTCCGGCCCAGGCTCCGGCATGGTCCCCTCTCCTCCGGGTCCCGGGAGGGAGCGAGCGGGACAGGCAGGCGGCCGGGGGAGCCGGCGAACGGCCGGAAATCAGAACATAAACGGGACTCAACTATGGGGCGCAAAGTCGGGGGCCGCCCCGGGCGCAAACCGAGCCGCGGGAGGGCGGGGTGAGGACCGGCCGGGGCGGGCTCGCATGGGGGGAGGGGTTCCGAGGGGCGGGGAGCGACCTGGCCGCGGCTCGGAGGGAGCGAGGCGGCTCGGCGGCGGCTGCGCTCCCGGGGAGGAGGCAGCAAGAGCAGTCCCCGGCTCGGGGCTGCGTCAATCCGGCGCCGGATGCTAATGATGAAATCAAAATGTCATCCAAGTTAAATGCGGAGAGTATACAGCGATTGGGCGCGTACAATGGCAAATGGGATTAGGCAGACGAAGGCGCAGCCGAGCCCCGGCCCAGCAGCCGCCTCCGCCACCCCACCCCCTCTTTCCCTCCGATTTTGGCGCTTTGGCTTCGGGCTATAAGAGCCCGCCTGTTATTGGCTTTATATAGTCCAATTAGGCAGCAAATGAGGACAAACCTATTAGCACAAAAGGATATTGGTTCTCGCTAAGGAGACACTCGGAGCGCTCCTCCGAGCGCAGGAGACCATGAGGCACCCGGGGCCGGCGGCGCCCCCGGCCGGCCGGAGCGTACCGACAGCCGCGAACCCGGAGCCAGAGCCTCGGTCTCGCTGCTGCGGCTCCGAGACCCGCTTCCCGCCGCCAACCCCGCGGGAGGAGGAAGGGGCGGGCTAGGCCCGCCCGGGTCACTTGGGGGTTATCCGCGCTGGCAGCTGCCGTCCCCTCCCCCAAGGGCTTGGCTGGGGCCCGTTGCCCCCACGCCACAGTAGAGCCGGCCCGTGACGAACTCGGCACTTTCCTACCCTTTGGGATCCGATGGTCTCAGTATCTCTCCTAAAACCTGCTAAAAAGGGCGCGGCCAAGAAGAGAGGAATTTGGGTTCCCCATCCACCGTCTAGCCGACTAAAAGGGAATAGGGTAAAGAGTCTACACTGTGTCCGCGGGCTCAGGAATCCGCGTAGCCTTGGCCTTTGGCCCTGGTAAACCGAAGAGGGAGCCTTCCCGGGAGCAAGGGTGGGTGTGCGTCTCTGCGCACCCGAGTGAGCTCACAGAAAGGGCGGACACCCTCGAGTCGCTCGGTGGGGCCGCTGGGGTAGCCGCGTCTTGGCACCGATGGCTACCCTCGTATGGACTCTTCTCTGGGCTTTGGATGCGGCGCCCAAGCCTCAAGGATCAACTCCAGCCTGCGATCCTGAAGACAGCACTTTATTCTAAGAAGTCTCTCCTGCTGAGTTTAGAGCTGCCTAACGCGTAAAAAAAAAAAAAAAAAAAAAAAAAAAAAGGTGGGGGTGGGAGAGTGAACCGGCAGGCGTAGAGGCGTACCTTCCTCAGTCGCACGGTAGTGGGAGGGACATTTGCAGCGCGCCTCAAGAGCTTGTAAGCCTCGGGAGAGCCACGCCGGGCCCCCCGAGGAACAGCTAGCTAGGTGGAAGGTCACTCGATTACACAGTCTTAAAAAACAGCTCCTGGGTCCCAAGAGAAGTCCGAGAAACAGCCGTTTCTACACTCCAGATTTTTTTTGGTGTGTGTACCAGGGATTGAACTCATGACCTAGCGCTTGTCAGGCAGGCGCTTATGCTACTGAGTTAAATCCCTGTCCCCTAGACTCCAGATTTAACTGTCAAATAAATCAGAATTATTTTGGGGGGAGGTCTTTTTCCGAGATAGCTCTCTGGCCAGAAAAAGGTGGCAAACTGCCCCAGGTGAAGCTTCCCGTACACCTTTTCAAAGTCTCTTCATTTCTCCAGCACTTTCTTTCCCTTATGCCGAGCTTTGCCTTATTCAAGGCTGTTCTACATTGGCAGGCGCCACCGTTTTGGGTTCCCAAGTGAAAAGTAGATGTGTTTTATTTTTCAGCGCCGAGGTGTCAGAATTTCAACCAAACCTCGGCTGTCGCGTTTAATGGTTCTGCAAACATTCACCTTCGGTAGTGAATCCTACTTTTGCTTAATAATCTGGAAGCCTCATAAATGGCGCTTCCATAAACATTATTATTCCTTCAAGTTCTTTATAGGGTTTTATAGAATGTACACCATCCAAAATCCCAGTGGAAACCAATTACAGCGCTGAAATTCAAGCAGGGTAGGTCTCGCAATGGACGTTTTTAGATGGAGACAGTTGTACAGGAAAGGAGACCGGGCCAAGGTCACACAAACGGTGCTGCACACCAGTCTTTGCCTGACCGCAGAGACAGCTCAATGCATGCAGCTCCGCGCGGGGTGCCGTTCACACTGCGCACCAGGTGGTGAAAGGCCTCCAGGAGAGACCCCTGCGGGCGTGCTGTGGGAGCTCTGCTGTCAGACGCGCGCGCAAACTTGCTTAAGTTCTGATGCACAGAAGCGGCCTTTAAACTGAAATGGAAAAGCTTCTGTCTCCCCGAAAGGCTGAGGATTTAGCTTAATGGTAGAACACTTACCTAGTAAGTGCAAACCCTGGATTCTATCCGTAGCACCAGAAAACAAAAATAAAAAGCAACTTCCCATCCACCCATCTCCAGAAGTTCACAGTAGAGATTCCTGAAAAGGATGTGAATTCTGTCTGGGTAGGTGGGCTAACGGCTGACCACAACTCCAAAACTAGAGTCAGACGGGAAAGGAACCTCCCCTGCAAAAGAAAGGTAAAGGACAGCCGTCCCTAACCCTTGCCGCGAGACCTCCCGACCCTCACTTTTCTTTTATCGCCCAACAGTGTCTCGGAAGTGGTGCGCCGATGTGCCGGTGAGCGCACTTGTGCGCGCGCACATTTTGACCAGGGATGGGACTTTTAGGTGGTAGTATCCTCAGCCCATCATTTGATGAGTTTGGCATGCTGGGCGTGGAGAGCAGCGTTTGTACAGCAGATCTTTCCTTTCGCTTTCAGAAAACTCGTATGTTGAGCCCTGAGCTCGAACGCAGCGGTTGACTCGCCCTCTGGCGAGGGATGTGACTTCTGCTTTATCCTGCCCAGGGCTCCATCCGAAGCCCAGCAAACAGCGCCCTCTATGGGACATCTCTAAGCCAAACCTCCAGGTGTGGCTGGAAAATACAGCCCTGAACATAGGTAGGGTTTAGGGCTTTAAAGTCCATTAAGCCTTTTCCTTCTGTGCTGAAGTTATGAAACGATGCCTCTCCCCGTTTTTCCTGCTCTGGATTCTGGGAGAGGCAGAGGGTGAAACAGACTGCATATTTCTGTTGATCTTTACGTGGCCACTACAGGTGATCCCTGCCCCAACTCCTCCCACCCACCCACACCCTCATTTTAGAGCCCATTCTGTGGGTTTCTTGCAGCAGTCCCTTTAGGTGCTAGTCCTGACTGCGGGACAAATGTGAGCGCTAAGAATGATCCCAGCGCGACGAGAGAGAGCAGGCTGCCTTATTTGCCTTTCCAGTGCTCAGCACACAGTGGGACCACAAGTGAATGCTCAGTAACCACTTGTGCTAATGCCCGAATTAGGTGGAGGGTGGGTAAGTGGATTTCCAGTCCCGCTGCAAAGGATTGACCCACTTGATGGGGAGGGGACCTTCAGATAGCCTGATGATACCCGGGAGCAGTTTTTTTTTTTTTTTTTTTTTAAGTTTAATGAAAATCTGAGGTCTTTTGATGGTACATTTTATAAAACCTGAAGAAAATCCAAAAATAGGATACTGGGGAGTATGGTGTGGGATGCCCCAAGGTAGAAGGGCTGTGCAAAGCAGAAGCTCCACATCACACACACCCCTTGGAGGAGGGGCCAAGAGAACAAGGGGCCTGGAGAACAGTAATGATTAACACCCCACTTCACACCAAGAAAAGAATGCTTAACAATGACATCCTCCACCCCTAAGCCCACCACACACAACACACATGTGCATTTGAATTAATACAGTCAGTAGGGAATTCTCCAAGGGGAGCATGTCTGTATTCTTAACTACTGTGCCTGAAAGAGGCTGCTTTCCTCTGAAGCTAGCTTTGGGTCCATCTTGAAACAGCTTACTAGGACAACTCATAGTGGTGGTAGTGATGGTTTGTGTGAGAGGCAGAGGATTATTTAGGCTTTTAACCAAACCTGCACGGACCAAGATTGGAGGCCCTCACAATTAGCACAGCCACAGTTTGCCCTGGTCCTGATGGTCACATTTTACCACCTCATTCTCCTGGCCTGCGGGTCCTTGATTTATAGGCAGCAAGGACTTAAGCCCACAACTGTGGTCCTGGGGAAATTAGGCCCTAGACTATGTGTTCTTTCCATTTCCTGGAAAGCTCTTACGTGCCTTTTTTGATATCAACAGGAATGCTGCTGGAGACCTCTCTGACTAATGAATGTGACCCTGAGAATGTGACCATGTGACCCTGGAGATGGGTCAAAGCCATGTTGTCCATGATCACAGGTATGTCTCAGTGTCCTTGCAGTGGCCGAATGGTTAACCTTTCCCTGAGAGTAAGGGTAATAACTATGTAAAGGTAATCTCTCCTAATGTCATTGCATCCTCATTATATGCCAGGCACTCTTCCCTGGGGAGGCAGGCAATAGTATTATTCCCATAGATGAAGCATGAGAGTACGACAAAGGGGAGCAGGAGCAACTACTGACACATGTCTGGCATTATAGTGTCATCAGAAGGGCAGTGCAAGCATATAGCAAGCGCTATATAAGCGCTGGCTATTGTTACTTTTAATCTTCATTCACTCTTCAAGATGAACCCACAGGCCAAATATCTGTTTGGGGAGGGGTTCCTTGAGAAAGCTAACATGGTCCTAGGAGGACTTCTTATTCTGAGATAATAAATTGAAGTAGTTCTCCTACATCTGCTTTCTCTTTTCTTCTTCATAAGTCTTTCTCTCTAAACCAGAAATCTTCCACATGTAATTATTCCCAGGTTGTTTTCTGTCTTCTGAGTTTTCCTTAAGGGAAAAGAACTTAAAATTTTGCTCCATTGACTCTTGCTGTCTCAGAGTGTCTGGATATTTTGTGGGCTTCTGCTGATTATCTGCAGAGGCCTATGTCAAGACCATGTGTTCTAGCCTCCTCATCTGAAAAACAATGGGGTGCATCGGGATGAAATTATTAACACAGTTGGAAGTGCTTTATTTGGGAAGGGATTTTCCCCGAGGAAAGGACTATACAAGGTTCCTGATGCCACCCTTGGAACTCATCCTCCTCCCCGGGCTCTGTCCCTGAGAACTGATGATCTCACCACACTCCAACTCAGAAGAGGTTGCCACCTCCCCACAAACTGCACAAGGGTTCTATTGTGGACACAGTGTTCTTCAGTTTCTCTAAGGCTGAGATTTCTGAAACAAATCCTGCTGAATACTAAGAACCCAGCGACAATATAGTCACAAATATTTGTTGAACACCTAATATGTGCCAGACACTCTTCCAGGAACTTCACTTGCCTCAGGGAGCATAGGATCCTTGCCCTTGAGGAACTTAAACTCTAGTGGAGGGGTGATAAGTGTTGCAGGAAACCCTAAAGGAGAGTAAGAATGTTGTGGTGGGAGGATATTGTAGCATTAAATTAGAAGATCAAGTGAAGCTTAACATTAAGGAAAAAAAGTTTAAGTAGAGACTCAGATTGGGCAGAGCAGAAATGCTTGAACCAAAGGCTTAGGCAGGAACTCCAATGAGGTGTCATCCAACTAGAGGCCACTAAGAGAAGTAAGGGGATGTAAAGGGATGTTCCTGATAGGACCATGGAAGCCCTGGTAGGAAGTTTGTCTTTACACTAAGTGAGGTGGAAAAACCCTATGCAGGAGTTAAAAAAATGATTGTCAACCTAAAATAGTGACATAGAAAGACAAGTTCTCCAAAGAAGGAGTTGATTCAGGAATAGCAGGGCATTGGAATCTGAGATTGCTCTGGTGGGTAGTCGGTATAACCAAAAGGTTGGGGGCTAATAAACTTTAAAAGACAAAAAGAAGTTCACATGGGTTATTTCAAAACAGATATTCATACAAATAACTTGTTGCTTGCTGGTGGAGGCAGCTACTGGGAAGTGTCCTTGTGCTCTGTGGCTTGCATGGCATACTATACTTTTGAAGAGCTCCTGATACAGTTGCTGTTACAGGCACATATGCATGAATTTCTTTCGATAATTCCTGTTACCTGCATAAGTGTGTGAGGGCTCCTTCTTCATGACCTCCTGGCTCTATTTTGTTATGGTTTGACAGAAATGACTCCACTTTTGGCATGATGACTTCCACATAACCAACTCATTTTACTATAATTTACTATGCAATAGAATCCACAGGTTTTAAGGATTCAGTTCAATGATCTTGAATAAAAACATATATCTGAGCATCCCTCTAACTTCTTAAAAGTTTTCTCTGTCCCTCTGCAATCAATTTCCCAAAACCCTATCCCAAGAATCCACTGGTTTGATTTTGGCATTAAAGATGAATTTTTCTGGTTCTTCAACATCACATAAATAACACACCAGTATATAATTTTTCTGAGTCTGGCCTCTTCAACCGAAAATGTCTCTGCAATTTATCTGCACTACTGTATATAGGACAGCAGAGTTTTTTAGTAGAGGAGCCATACACTTGGTTTACATTTAAAAATCAATTTTTGATTTATCAAGTTTCAACAGGATTCTAATCCTAAAAAATGCCATATCCTATGAATGGATGAGGAAAGCATGGTCTAGCTATACAACAGTATAGTATTGAATAATAAAAAGGATTAAGTACTGATACACGCTACAACATGAATGAACTCTGAAAACATTATGTGAAGTGAAAGAAATGAGGCATAAAAAAATCACATATATTGTGATTTCATTTACATGACATGTTCAGAATAGGCAACTTCAGAGAGACAGAAAGGAGACAAGAGCCTACCATAATTCCATCCTTGCCTAATGTTGTCTGAGCAGGATCAGGTCTAATTAGTACTTGGACAGGAGAAAGGAGAGAAGAGATAAGCAGTTGGTCAATGCTGGAGCAATAGGAATGAGCAGCAACACCAACAGTGATGGGATTTCTTGTTACAGGTGATTAAGAGGTTCTAAAACTGGTTGTGGTGATAGATGTCCAACTTTGTGCTAAAACCCATTGATTTTTGCACTTTAAATGGGCGACTGTGCAGTACATGACTGTTGTCTCAGTAAAGAAGTCATTTAAAAATCCATCTCTCAGCCACTGTGCCCTAGTGTAGCATTTTCAATGCCTCATGTCCTTCCCCAATCAACTCTTTAGATGAGAATGAAACCCTTGGTCTAACACCTGGATGGTAGCCCTGTAACACGCTCTGAAGCCAAGTGGAAAGTGAAGGGATGACTGGCTATGAGCAGGGTAGCATTGTGGGGTTCTGGTGTGTTCTGTTTCTTAACCTGAGTGTTGATTATTTGGGGGCACCCAGTGAGGCCTTGCCCAGTTTCCTAATTGCAGAAAGTATAAGCGTGTGACTTTTTAAACCACTAAGCTTGGAGTACTTTGTTTTACACTAATAGCTGAGAAACCAGCTTTTTAGCTGTTTCTTATGCTTATCATGGTCTGATCCTGGGCAATGGGGAACCATGGAGGAATTTTCAATGGGAAGCTAGAGGTTCTGCTATGATCCTAGGGACGAGAAGTGGGGAGGCTGAATTATCAAGAACTTTTCATGCCCGAGATGTAGCTCAGTGATACAGTGCCTGCCTGGCAAGTGCAAGGTCCTGGGTTCATTTCTCAAAGTAATTTAAAAAAAAAAAAGGAAAAGAAGAGAAAAGAAGTTTTTCACAAGATGAAGCTATCTCAGTTGCTTTCTTGTCACTGGGGCACAGTACTCAACATCCAAATTTATTTTGTTTCACATTTACAGTCCATAGTTGGCTGACTCTAAGGCTGGATGGGTGGTAGAGGGTGTAATGAAGGAAAAGCTGCACACATCATGGTGGCAGGGGAACACAGAGAGTAAGGAGGAAAGGGAGGGAGATATATCCTACCATGTCACTCTCCATGTGGCCTACATCTTCTGTCCTCGAAAGATGGAAAGAGACAGAGAATTCTCTGCAGTCTTCTTCTTCAGGTACAAATCTCACTCATGGGAACCCTGGTCTCATGACCTGATTTCTTGCCCAAGGCTCCAGCTTCTTTATCGTGTCATTGAGAGTTAGAATTTAGGAGGAGGGGACATAAACATTCAGACCACTGTACCAGCTGCATGAATAAGGACAAAGTGATTAACCACTATGCTTTTCGACTTCCCCATCTATCAAATGGGGACAGTGTGACTCCTTGTTTCCTGGAGATCTGAGAGGATTCGATAAGATGATATGTGGAAAGTGTCTGCACAGAAGATTCCTGGCACGTCCTCCATAAATGCCAACTACTGGTTCCAGGTAGGACCAGTGTTACCATTTCATCTGCTTTACAAAGGATGGCTCTGAGGGAAGAGGCTGCCAGTGCCGCTCACCTGGGCAGTAGTTCTTCTTGGTCAGTTTCCCCAAGCATATTTGCACAGATTTGTTTGAGAAAGTGTTCCTAGGAAGATTGAGAAGGATCAAGGAAGGAGAAGGAGCCAAGCAGGATGCAACCGTGACCATGGTTCTGAGAGAGTGGATGAGCTCTGATTCAGCAAAGGGGTTCCAGGGGGCGAGCCACAGACTCTGGTTCTTTCATGTCTCCACTCCATGGGTAGCCTTTGCTCAGAGGCCACCAGAAGGGACATGCACTCTCAGCTTTCTGCCCACATGGGCACAGTGACTCCAGAAATCCTGCAGAAGAGTCCCAGCTACTTCTTTGCTGAAGCACTTGGTGTGGTACGGGGCTAGAACTGTTGTGAGCAGGATCCAGAGGACCCCCAGGCACTACATAGTCCTTTTCAGTGGGAGCAAGGCCCCAGTCTCTGCTTCTGGACTTAAATTCTCCATTCCCAGCCCCTTTATCTCTTGAAGGGCCTAACCTAGTAAGATAGGCCTGTACTACAACAGGCTGGTTCTGATGTGTTTGCCTGTCAGGGACTCTCAGACTGGGGTTCCTTCCTTTTGGTGGCAATATAGAAATAAGGGGGGCTACTCCCACTCTGAGGACAAAAGAAGGCCCTCTCCTCAATCTGCTCCTTGTCTTTGAAAATTTGTGGTAACCATTTCCGTTAAAGCATATGACAATTAAATCGTTGAGTTCCGATGCCGAATTAATTACCCAGCAGAAAAGGAATCAATTGTGTAAATATATCATTTATGTAATGAGTCCTGGCTGTGATTTAGATGTCCAGATTGGTTTTTCTTCCAGCTTCTGTCCTGAAAACAAGTCTAGCCTTTGAGCCAGGGCCAAACAAACAGCCTCTATTAGGTCTGAATCCAGGGCATTAAGTGGCCCAAATAGACAGGTGGGGGCAGGTGCTACAGGGGGCTGAGATTGTGGGAAAATTGGAGCAATTTGCCAAAATGAGCCAAGTTCCTCC